CACACTGGACACAGAAGTAGGATAACAACTGGGTGTCCCAACAAATCTTGCCCCTTGTCTGTTTGTTTTGTTTTTTGGTACTGGGGATTGAACTCTGGTCCTTGTGCTTTGGAAGCAGGCACCAGAACCACTGAGCTAAATGCCCGGCCCTTGCCCCCTGTCTGTGTAACAACTTGAATTCTCATCCACTTGAGGTTCCAGAAGGCCCTTGACCACACTAAAGTCTTCTGGATCTGCCTGGAGCCGTGGCTGGGTGCTGGGTGGCACCGTGGCTGTGGCTACAGGATGTTCCAGATGGGCCTGGCACGGTCGCTCAGATGTTGTGTGTGAATAGCCAGCCACACACTGGAAAGCATTTGCTTTGCAGGGTCTCTAATTCCAGTTTCTCCGGGGTCTTCGCAAGCCCCTCTCTTGTCTGCCGCACACATTGTCCCCAGTCACTGAAAGACCCCATCTGTGCCACCCAGTAAGGCTGTTCTTAAGGATCAAGGGAACTAAATCACCCGGGCAGTGAGTGCCATGGCTAGATGGGTCGGTTGTTTAAAAGGGCAGGGGCCATTTAAGGAGCCAGCTGAGGGGACAGGAGTGACATTTCCTACATTTTCACAGACTGGAAGGCCTGCGGTCTGCTTTGAACCAACGGCATTCCATCCTGGTGCTACAGTGTTCCTGGACCATTCAGGTTACCTTCAGTGTGTGTGGGGTCTGCTGAGGGGTATGGTATTATTGTCCTTAAAGGAGAGGCATGTCTAGAAGGTACCAGTGGTCCCCATCTAGCACTTAGGACTCATTGCCTGGTAATTTAATGTCCTTGATTTTCAAGAAGAACCAAGGGCCATGAGTCTCAAGGTGCTGTCTGTCAATGACTCAGGACTGTTTTGGGGACAGGGAATTCCAAAGGCTCTGGATAAATTGACTGTTTGGAACTCAGTCCAAATATGTTATAAGCATATGGTGGTTCATTGCAGAAACCTGCTCAATTCCTAATAGATACCTCAGTATCTAGAAAGGCAGTGGGCACTAACACTTTTTGAAACCAGGAGTGGTGGTGCATGCCTGTAATCCCCGCACTTGGGAGGCTGAGGCAGGAGCCTCACTTTGCATTTGAGTCCAGCCTGTGCTACACAGTGAGACCCTGTCTCAAAAAATAGTAACAAAAACAACAATAGAAAGAAACAAAACTTTTTAGCACTGACTAGTGCCAGGCCCTTCACATATGCTGTCGATTCACCCCAAATCTAAAGGACCTTTTGTTGCCCATGGTATGTAATTCAGAGAGGGCTTCGTTGACTCAAGTCACACAGCTAATCAGTGGCAGGTCTGGGACTCACACGTGAATTCTTTTTCCTCCAGTCTGTGCCATCCATAGTAGCAAGGCCCAGGAACCTCCTCCGGCTGTGGCCCCTCTGTTGCCCTTTCTTGGGCTGCACCGGGAGGATTCTGGTCCTGCTTTCCAGCCTTCCCTCTCCAGGGTCACGAGTCATCTTCATCCTTTGAGTGGGCTCTCAATGATGCCCCAGTCCCTTGGAGGACCTGAATGCAAGGTAGTTCATTCAGGGACATTCCCAAATCTGAATAAATGTTGGATTTAATTTTTTTAAAAATATATATTTTAAACCAAGTTGTACATGTAAGCCCATGGAGGGCTCAAAGCATCCTGAGCACTCCCTTTGCTCTCTGTTTCTTATAAGAAAAAATGAGGAGGGCCCTGGACCTTCTTCTTATTTTTATATCTAAGCAAATTTCAAAGGAAAAAAATCCCTCCTGACCATGGTCAGATGGCAGTGTTGATGACTGATGGTTTTCAAATGAGGAAAACAGACTATTTTTGATCATTACAGGAAAAAAAGAAGAAAAAAAATGCTTTCTTCGAAGTGTTGTAATAGAAAGGTAATTTAACCTCATCATCCTTAGCAACTAGAGAAGAATCATCCATCTATTTACCACTCTAATGCTTTGTGGTTTTTTTCCTGACTTTTTTTCCCCCAACGGTTCTCTTATGTTTTAAGTGGTGGTTATAATCCTATCGAACATGTGGTATTTGACCTGCTTTGTGGTTGTTTATATCACGGCATAGGTATTTTTAGTATTGCTACAGGGCCAGGAAACATTAACTTGAGGAATTATGCATTTGATTCCTCTGAAGAAGCACAAAGTCTAGAATGAGAAAGTTATCAAACTAAAGAACTCACTGTTGGGGAAGTCCTTTTCTCCCTCCCTCTCTTTTTCCCTCCCTCCCACGAAGAGAATCCCTGTGAGTGGACAAAGGGAACTAGGCTATGTCTGGCATCTTTGTAAAAATACAAAGTTTGTGCACACATTTGTGGACGTGAAAACCAGGGCTTCTGAGTCCGCAATTGACGAAACCACTTTTCCTCTGGTTAGCACAGCTTGTCTTGTGCCGGGTCTGGTTGGAGACTACGGCTTTTACTAAATCAGTGTCTGCCAACATGAGCTGGATACCAGGGTGAGAATAAACTCATCCCCCCATCCTGTCTAGGCTTTGTAGATATGCTGCCATAAATATACCCTGATTTTCACAGTGCACCTTAAACCTTTCTTAAAATTCAAGTGGGCAGCTTTACATGATAATAAAACCCCTGAGCTTCTGCCCAGCTCCCTCCCAGCAGAGGAGCAACCTGAGCTGTCCCCTGTCCTGGCCAGCTGTGTTGACTTAGTGCAGCTGACTTCTCCTGGCCTGAGCTTATGCATGTGTGAAAGGGAGCCCACAGCTGTCCCTGACTGGTAGGTTTACTGTGAAGATTAGATGGGCTAATGCAAAGATAATGTTTGTAACAGAGATCAGTAAACACGGCTCTCGATACATAGTAGTTAGCTGCCACATTACACTTAAGACATTAAAGGAAATTGGAAAAAAAATGTAGAAAAGCAGTTTCTCTACAAAAAAAGTAATAATGTATAAGGTTTACCATATTTGATAATAAGCATCGTGTGTGTGCATGTTGTATATGTGTACATATTACTGGCCTGGATGAGTGGTGGCACACCTATGGCACGTGTGTTACTGTGTTTTTCTTTTAAGCCAAAAGATGTTAAAGTAGAGTTGTTTTTTCTAAACTAAAACCTAAGTATTCAGGTTTAATTGTGGTGTCGGCACCTTGCAATAAATAAGTGGGTCTTGGGTTGCAGCTTGGTACTTGGTCTGTGAAAGGTTCACCATCACCGGCCTAGGTTGTTTTGTCCATGGAGAGAGGTTGGATGTTGAACTAGGCTTTCCAGGATGGCCCAGCATGGCCCACTAGCCCTCTCGTTCCATTCCATGGTACCTAAACGGTTAAGCTTTCTCCACTTCATGTCGAAACTGTACAAGGACCATTGCTGAAACCATTTGGGTACTCTGACAGTAACTCTGCCCTTTATCTCCCCAAACTACAACAGGACTATGCCTAGTTCCCTCATCACCACTTTCCTGGTGATCCACAAAGTCTAAAGTCATCCTCCTGGTGGAAGAGTTGCCCAATGCCCCTCCAGGCTCTGTGCCCAATTCCTCCTCTTCTTTGGCTCATTAGGGGTTGGTGGCCCCAAACCTTCTCACCCACCAGCACATGCTTCCTTGTCTGTCTTTCCTGTCTGCACTCAGGAAACACAGAGGGGCTGAACACAGCCAGGGACAGGGGCCACGGGCAGGGCAGCTAGGGAAGGGATGGAGGAAAGAGTTTGGATAGCTTTTGCAGGAGCTGGATCTACAACACCCAAGCACGCTGGCACCTTGTCCCAGTGGCATCCCCCCAGCTCCTGGCCTGCTGTTAGAGGAGCTGGAATAGATAGGGAAAACTTTTACAAATAGCAAAACCCATAAAGTGTTACAATGTAAAATGGCTTCTGCTCTTACAGCAGTTTGTTTTGTTTAGCTCAAAACTAATAGGCACTGAAGGCACTAACTGCTGACTGAGGCATTGGTCTCACCCTAAGATAATAGTCACGGTCTTGAGATCTGATGAGACTGAAGCCACCTGATCGTAAAAGTGTCTAAATGAAAGAACCCATTGCTAACATTTGTTCCCCTGACCCTGAATACCCCCTTCCTATGGGCTAGAATAGATAACTAGGCGAATCTTAAAGGCAAACTCCCCAGCTGCAAAGAACTGTTATGTCTGGGTTGAAAAGATTAACTATTCTGTGACCGTGATTTGAACTGTGAGAATGAAATGTAACCACCCAAATGAAGTCAAGGCTGTTAAAACCCTATAAAAGGAGGAGTTGTAACCTAGTGCATCATTGATCCAGGTACGGCTTATGTGCGATCGACCCTTATGGATAAGTAAATTTGTTATTTTACTTCCATTCTGCTGCCTCTGTGTCACTTACTGATTCCTTCCATAACAATCTGAGTCCTACAAGTAAGCAGGGCCCATCAATCAGCTTTGTGGGCCAGGCATGGCCAGCACTCTGGGAGGCTGAGGCAGGAGGATTGCAAATTTAAACCCAGCCTTGGCATCTTAGCGATTTAAGTACTGTCTCAAAAAATAAAAAATATCTGGGGATGTAGCTCAGTCAGAAGGCCCTGGGTTCAACTCCCAGTAATATAAAAATAAAAATCAGCTTTGTGAAATTTAAGGCAGATTGTGGGGAAACTCTACAAGCCTCTGACTCATCAGATGGGCTCACATAAGGAATCAATCCACTGTGTGAACAGTTCTGTGGGAAACACAACCTCTGACATGCACCCTAAAAGCTATGTGGGAAACAAATCCTTTCCCCAGCGGCCTTTATCAAAGAGGTTACTCTTCCAACGAAAATGGTAAGTGAGGCGTAAGTGTCCTCCTGGCCACAAGGCAGAAGGCTTCTCCAAGACCTTCTCAGCTGATACAGGGTATGGAGCAGAGAAAAACGCTGCGCTCCCAGCCGTTCGCATTTTCCAGCCACACTCAAGATGGCTGCACA